GGGAGTACATCATTTATACCAATTCAACCCACGTGGTGCAGTAACCACTAGATAAACTTGTGTACGCCGACCCTGAAGATGGCTTACTGCTTCTAAATTGATTTCATCGCTAAGCTGGGAGCACCGGGGACCCGGCAACAGGATTGTAGCGTCTTTTATCCGTAGGAGAGGCATGGACCAGCAAGACAACTACGCGGGCCTCTGGAACCAGGGTGATACAATGGCTTTTTGGTGATATGTGGAGAGTTTTCAAATGCCACTGGGATTCCACTTCATTAACTTAGGCGGTAACTGCAGCTCTTGGTGTGTAGAGGCGCCATCGGGTGCAGGTGCAGGTTTGCCACAGTGCCGTCATGTGGATAGCCATTATCGTAAGGCCAGCTATTATATTATTTGTGTATGAAGCATACTATTTAAAGGTGATATTAAGCTTCTTTCTGCTTTCAGAGGTAAATCACAAGCGATCGTGCATTGCCCACAATACGCACTTGGCCAGGCGTTCTCGGAGCCCAGCAGACGCATGACGTTTATGCCTGTGCGCATGGTGTGTACTCACGAAGGCAAACAAGAGTATTTATAGCGCCTATAGTGCTTAATACAATGTTAAAGCAGCGGGTTTCAGTCTCCCCGATAGGCTGCACGGAAAAGTCGGCCCGCAGACCCGATGGTCAGGCCATTGGGCCTGCGAGCCGATCCAGCGAGACATGGATGCTTACCCGCCCAACACAGAGCAGTTAAGCGGCATCAACGAAATAACTAAAGGGTCATATCTAGAAATGTTTTTTTTATGCGTTGACGCCGTATTTCAAGGTCTACAAACCCAACACCGCCTCGTGGGCAGGCCACCAGCACTGCAGGGCAGCCGCTTCCAGGCAGACTCCCACGAAGACGTTGCACGGCTAAAGGCTAAAACCAACAGCAAACACGAGAAATTGATGTGATCCCAATCTAGAATCGACCTGAGATCGAGAGCCTTTCAATTCTTCAGTCCGCTCTACCTTCCGTGCTGCTCAAGTGCCCTATGAACAACCCTGCACTGTTTTGCCTAAACCTACGTCCTTCGGGCCTCACAGTGGAGCAGGCTGCCTGCACGGCGCTGAACGCTGCCACGTGCAGACGGCTCCCTGACGTCAAGCTAACCAGAGCCTTGCTTTCCAGCTTGTACACAAGGTCCTAGCACGAGTAAACTGCATACGTGTCCAGCTGTTTCTACAGGCAGCATCATCCCGAGGACAGACACAAACCCAGAAACTTCTCATGTTTCAGGTGCCTTGAAAAAGCGACAAAAGAAGAGAGGCTGCGCCGTTACGGGAAGCTGCATGTAGCAGAGCTGCACACACATGTTCACGGCCCTCGATCTCCTTGCCGCGCCTGCAGTACCAGAGGAGATGGGTGAAAGACATTCTACAGTAGTTGAGGTGGACCGCCTTGTCATGCAGCCAAAACCTGCGATCGTAAAGCAATTAGGGAAACATCTTCTTCGGTGTGTCCAGCACTTCATTCGATCTTCCCCAGACTCATTACCACGTCTTCAAATGTGCAAATAGGGTTGCAAGTGACAATTCACGGAAAGGAAAATAGCGAAGCGAACCTCGAGGGGGAGAAGCGGCTCTTCTCCGATCCGAGTGAAGGATCTGAATATGCCTTCTAAGACGCACATCTGGAGCCACATCCCCTTGTAGAAGAGTTCTTGCACGCCGCATTCGCCATCTTGTGCCTAAAGGCGTCGAGGGTCGACGCCTTTAGGCACAAGATGGCGACGGGACCTTGTGTCCTGTGCGCATTATTGCAGCTCGTTCTTGCGCCAGTGCCTGCTACTGCTGCCTGCTACGCAACACTCTGCTTTCCCTGCGCACTCAGGAAGCGAGGAAATAAGGCAGATACACGCATACAGACTAGTTGCTGCAGAAAACCGGAGCGACGTCCCATTAAATATTCCGGGCAATGCGCCCTGCAGGAGAAGGTTTTACCATGGCTCCGGAAGTCAGTAGAAATCAATAATGGAAAGAGACACACTTTGGGGCACAATACGCAATGCGAGGCTTCCCTACTTCTCGGGACGGAAGCTTCGTGGCTCGTTATCGCCAACTGTTTGTGCTTCTCCTTCTCCTGGCGATTGCTGATGCCTCGTTACTCGGTGAGAAGGGACACAGGTATTCCCTTGCGATGCAGTT